TCCAGTACATGAATTAACATTTGACAGCCTCTGTCTCAGGAAAACCACTGTTGTCAAACATTACTGGCTGAGAGTGTGCAGAAGACTAGATTGTGCTTGGCAAAGGGATATATTTTGCATTTAACTTTTTGGTTCCATCAGCTGCTCTACTGCAAGTAACTGAATCTGTGTCTAAATACACTCATTTTAAGTAGCTGAAAAGTAAGTAAAACATTTCCTACAAATGTGAGATCATATCTTAAGGCTTCTAAAATTAAATAGCCTTGCTTCCTAAATTAAGGGCCATAGGCACCAATAAGACTGATTGAGAAGAGATTTTTTACTATTAATATAGTGCAAAAAATGATATGTTAAATGATATGTTAATCCTGTTGAGGAGTCTGCTACACCCTAAATTTAGTATCATATAATACCTGTCTAATTATAAGACTCATTTTGAAGCATCTGAACCAATTCTGGAGCCTAAGACAGTTGGGAAGTAAAACAGGCCTGTCCGTCCATCAAGGTAACTATAAGGTTCACTTGCCATATTAATAAATCCAGACTTTTCCCTTAGCTACTTGCATGCAGCTCTCATTGACAGTTACTGACTATGTAGAATTTGCAGTGTAACCAACTATTCTGAACCAATCAAAGTTTTGCTCTGTGGAAAGGGCCTTTTTGTTTAGAATCTGCAGCAAGAAGTTCTGTTTGAAAGTTGTTAACATGCTTACAGATAATTGTAGTACAGTATTATTATGAACAAAATACCAGCCTCGCAATGGAAGGTTTAGAAAAATACATTTCTTATAGGAGCAAAACTGTATTAAAACTTTTCATTTCATGGGGAAATAAGTGGGTTTTTATCTCTCAAGTTATTCTAACAATTTCCTCCAGGAGAAAAGTTACTTGCAACTTTTAACTCTTCCACAGCAACAACAGCTGGCGAACTAGTTCCTGCAGAGTGCATTTTCCAAAGAGGTGTGTTATTTAAAAATAATGAAATCCAAGAAAATATGAAAAGAGACTGGAGTACTATAAGGAGTCATATGCAGGAAGGAAGGCCCTGTGCTGCAATGTGCTGGACACAAACAGGACAAAATAGATGGGTCTGTTCCAAAGAGCTTAGAATGAAAGCATCAGGGGAAAAAATGAAACAGATGGATTCAGACAGAGAGAAAAGTACAAGGCCACCATGAGACATTAGCATGACAGGAAAGGGTCAGAGCATACTGGCAGCCCAAGTGCTGTCAAGATTTTTGGAAGGTATCACAGCAAAGGAGAATTTTAATACAAGTTTGGGAGGAGAGTAACAAGGCAGCTTTGCAGATGTTTCTGGGCAGCTCCACCAAGGCATAAAAGGCAGCCTGGTGCTCATTTGAAAAATCTAGCAAGAAGATGGTGAAGGTTGGCACCATCTTTCTTATGGAATTCCCTATGAAACTCCATAATGCTCTGGTTAGATACTCGGGTGGGATTACTCTTACATGTTTCTGGCTGACATTATAAATGAAGTTTTCAAAGCCTGCAGGATGCCACTTAGCTTTCCTGAAATCCTCACTCTGTGTTCTTTTAGAAAAGTGCTTCCTATATCTTATTTTCTAACTGCTGAGTTAGTTGTGCTTCACCTGCCAAAGCAGGGATGGGTGTAGCATAACTAGATCCACAGCATTCAGATAAATGCAGATAACAGCTCTCATACTGCTGTAATCAGGACACCTTAGTAAATATGAGAGAGTGCTGATTTTATGACAGCAAAGAGTTTACCAAAGTTGCATAAACAAACAATATGAAAAACAAAGATCTTCCTGTAGCTGATTTGTGTTGGAGATATTTAATAATTAAGCAGGTGGACTCTGAAGGTGATCTTATCGCTTTATATCCCCTATTTGAATCAGCCACTACAAGTTTGCTAAAAATAGTTTCCTAAAAATCTAATCTGAGCAAATGAACACTTACAGTTGTTAGTGCTAAAGAGCCATACAATTTTTTAACACAAACTCCCTGCCAAGCAACTCACATTCTGGCACAGAAAATGCCGTACATCATCTGTTGGCACCAGCCACATTATGAAGGTCTTCTCTCATTCAAGTGAGAATGAAACAAATAGACAGTCACAAATGCTCCATGCTTCTTCATGAAAAATGGAAGGAATATTTATGTTAAAGAATCAGCCATTGTCTTCTTCTAGCTGACTTAACGGGTATCTCCACCACCCCCATGGTACACTCAAATGTATTAATACCCTGACTATAGAGTATAAAGCTAAGGTTTAGAGGAACACAATATAGAATACATAATGACTATGCCTGCACAGCTGTGCCTGTAAAGTTTTATTCTTGCCTGGGTGGCTTAGAACAGGGGCAGGCAACTATTTTGGGCAGAGGGCCGCGTACTGAGTTTTGGCAAGCCATCGGGGGCTGCATGACCGGCAGCCCAAGGCAGATAAATATTAATTTTCTAAATCTTTTAGGGGCCCCACGAGCCAGACAGAATGGCCTGGCAGGCCACATCTGTTCCCCGGGCTGCATTTTGCCCACCCCTAGCTTAGAATATAAAACAGGACAATGCACATTTTAAAAAACACCAGTCTCTCTACAAATGGTCCCAAATATTATGTTAAGTATTCTAGTATTTACAATTCGGGTGGCAAACTTTTGTAGTAGTAAAGAAACTATTAACAAGGGTGAAAGCCAGATCTGTCCTTGTACCTGGAATCCTAGGAGAAAAACAACAAGCTTTTAGCTAGCCATTCATTTAAGCATAAATAATTGAGTCAATCAACATTTTTTCAACGGCTCCTTAAGGTCCAACAGTGTATAAAATATCTAGAGAAGCAGAACTGGAAAGTGCAAAATTGTCAATGCCCATCACAGATGTTCCTTCTAAACTTGCATCCTGCAGGTTTTAAGCTATGAGTCTCTTGACAATCTCTTTTCCCCAAAGACAAAAATCACCCCTTACAAAATGCATGACAAATCTGCATGAAAAAATCTTCATCTCAGACATTTGAATTTCTAATGGTATCTGAAATTCACATAGGATCACATAAATGATCTATGCTATAAACTTTTACTTATGGTCATCATACCAGAGTAATACAGAATGTATTAGTTCAATATATTAAAAGACTACAAGACTTTATAACTACTTGCTTTACTTCTATAAACAATGATATGCACTGGGTTTCTAACCCACTAACTAGAGATTCTAGGGAAAAACAATGATAGTCTTACTGGATCACTCACTTGGGGATAGATCCTATGCCATCTCTATACACCTAAGTGAAATGTATGTAGCTATGTAAATGCCCTTCTGACACACACACCCAGTTTGGGCATCAGTGTAGCTATACTTGCTCTATGGATCCCTACAAAGCATGCCCCGTATACTGAACTCTGAATAGCTGCCCTCAGGGAACAAGGTCCCAGGCATGGGGGTGGAGGTGGAGAACCCCCCAGCTATTACCCCAAAGCCTAGTAGTTAGAGCACTTCCCTGGGAGCAAGAGACTGAGTTTCAGGTCCCCCTCATTCAAAAGGAGTTTGAACCTGCATCTTCTGCTTCCCAGGAAAGTGCTATAACCAGCAAACACTGCCCAGGCCTCTCTCTAGCCCTTCTTTTGAAGCTAGTCATTTACTTCTTCTCCTCCTACACTCCACTCACCACTAGGAATGCACAGAAAATCCCAGTCTGCCACTGGTACTAATCAAATCCAAACTGTACACAAGTGCCTGAAATTGCCATTACATGGCTACTCCATTGCTATTTAGGCATGTAAAGCTGAAAGAGGATTTAGCCCTTAATCATTTTTGTAACAAATCTATCCTAACTTTTCCCTATTCATCTGCTTGCTTCTACCATGGTCAGCTCCAAGTTGTGAGTAGCTTGAATAAATTTCCTTCAAACCTGAAATCAGTCCAACTACAAAAATCAGCCTTGGCAAGCCAGGAGTTTCCAGGTCACTTAGAACAAAGTTGCTGTGCCAAGCAGCAGCACCTTCAAGTATACCACACTGCACCATGTGAGCTGCATCCTGAAACAGGAAAAGTATGGTTGTGCTTGCATGGTACTAGGGGCCGGTTAATTAGCATTGCTGAGTGACAGCACCAATTAGCCTTTCTCCAAGCTCATTCATTACCTTGCACTCAGCATGGCCCAAACACAGATACTGCACTGCCTTCTGAACCAAAGCAGTATAGATTTGAAAGGTTGCTGCTTGGCATGGGGAGTTTGCCATGCACACATGACTTTAGCCTCAAGTTGGGCTAAGGACATAACCTTCCACAGAGCAGACAGTCCTTAAGGTTTGGCTAGTCAGTGGAACACAAGAGACAAATCTTCCTTAGCAAGGATTAAGGACATTTTCACACTCTGCACTTAATGACCTAAAGGAAAAATTCTCTTGGGAATAAGAATTGCCTCACACTGGTCTTTAGGGATGGTCAACAAGGAAGAAAAGAGTTTGGTGTATAATCCCAAAAGACAGCGCACAGGGGGTACATCTACATGTGCATTAATTTGCCTTTTCTAATGTGCATTAAATTTAGTACCTCCAAGGTGAGGTACTAAATTTATATGCATTAGTCTGCACTAATGTGCAATAGTGCATTTGCACACTTTTGTAGTGATACTTAATGCACAGTAAACTATTTTACTGTGCATTAACCTAATGTCATGTTCTTTTACATGACGCTTTAATGCACAGTAAAATAGTCTACTGCACATTAAAGCGCATGTGTAGACGTGCCTAGTATATCCTACTCCTCAAGTCCAAGGAGCTCAGAGAGAGATCCTACCTCCTGAAAAACAGTAAGTTCCACTGGTTTCTCTAGACTGTTGAGCCTCAAAACAATTCTCACAGCTTAGGTGAATAGTTAAATGTCAGTTTGACCTATGTGCTTCATCCTTTTGTGAGGTATTAGGAAAGCTACATTTCAAGCTTTAGCCAAGACAATGAGGCTGCCAATTGTTCCAGTATACCATTCAAGGGTGAAGTATAAGATACGCTGAGGGCACGTACCTTAAAAATTTGTACAGATACTGACGACTGCAAGCTGACCACGAGAATACCCCATTGTGTCCTGCTAAGGTGGGTGACATGATATTACCTTCAGACTTTTTGCACATGTTTCCTTCTCCATCATGGATCATGCCAAAGCTGCAAGAGATGAGACAAACTCACCATAAAATGAACCATATAAGATCTGAGTACCTGCACATTCATGTGTGTAATGAGATACTCGTTTACTATTTTTTCCACAAGATCACTATCCTATGCAGTGCACAGAATGGCTCTGCAGCAGGA